ACTATAGAGAGCAGTGCTCAGACCAATGACGTTCATTAAACACGGCCACGGAGGTCATCCCGGCGACAGGCTGCGCCTTTCCAGCCTTCTGCGCTCGGTGATGCCGACCTGGGCCGTGCAGAACGTCACTGGGAATGGCCTGGAAGCCACGGCTCTTTCTCAGTCCTGCTCCGTGTGCAGACAGGAGGAGACCCACCTGTGACCGAGGGGCTCTCTGTGCCTGGGGACCAGCCCCGCTCCTCACCACCCACAGCCCCAGGGGAGCCCGGTCCCTAGTTTCTGTCTGTGCCGGGCGCCGACCTCTCATGGGCGCCTCGCAGGTGGGATCAGGTGAGGTGTGTACACACACCTGGCTTACCGCGTCCCTTTCTGAGTTACCTGAGAAATCGTATCTGATGAGACCCATCCACCGCTTCTTCTCGCTGTCCTTGATGATGTCGCCGTAGAAGCCGTACCCCAGCAAGGACACCGAGTACCGCAGCAGCGCCCCGTTGCGGTGCACGGAGGACACGTCCATGGACAGCGAGTCCCCTGTGGGCAGAAACCGTGGTGGTGGGGACAGCTCCCGACCCCCCCCGCTCCGCGTCCCGTGCCCTGTAGGCACCGAGAGCTTCATTAAAATGTGAAATACAGGGAGGCGATGCTGGGGTCTGCTCGAGGCAAACCCCCAAATGGTCTAGCCGTTCTGTGGGGCGGAGCTAAGAAGGTGTCCGGGAAGCTCATGCAGCGTCACTGATGGAAAGGTGGGTTTGACAGTGAAGAAAGGCACGTGGCATTTTAAAATATAAAACCATAAATGGAGTGCTTGTAAACACAGCGTCTCCATGACTGGGTAACACGGGGGCAGCAACGTCATCGGGGACAAGGAAAGGGAGAGGCCATATGCGTGTTACACAGGTGCCCTGACACAACCGAGCAGGTCAGCAACCGCCCCTGCCTTTCTGATCCCGTGAAACAAGTGGTTTCCTGGCCTGAGGGACGCACATTCTAGAGTCGCGAGGGACAGTAAACAGGACATGGAAAGAGCATGGCCGGCAGTGAGGGCCCCTGGCCTGGGCAGGGCTGCCTGACCGGGTGACGAGGGGCTGAGCCCGGAACGGAGAGCAGAGTGCAGGGCACCCGGCAAGCATGGGACACATCCGGGACACAGCGGCGGCCTGGCCAGTGCATGGGGACGCCGAGAGCCGGCCAGCTCACAGGGTGCCTGGCACCCCCCAAGACTCTGGACGGGCTCTGAGCAGGGTTTGGTTTTGAAGGAGCGCTGTGATGGCCATGGGAAGATGGGACGAGATGGAAGATGGCATGGAAACCACAGACACGAGCCCTGCTGTCAATGGGCTGAGGGCTCCGAGGACAGCAGCCCACAAGCCTGCCGCTATGCTTGGAGCTGCTCAGTGGGTCGGCTGAGAGGCACCTACCCACGATGATGTGCAGGGCTGATGTTTCTGCATCGTTTATGCCAACCGTGGAGTAGCACACACAATCTGTTGACCCTGAAAAGGGAAAAAGAATGTCCTTAATATCATTACAATGATTTTAGAAAACTGTAGCAGGTTTCCAGTTAAGTGAGTGGTATGTGTTTCCTTGTCCTCCATGGCCCTGGAGTAAATAAGGAATAAATACGTTTTCCCTACAAAATGAATACTGGAAATATTGAGATGAACTCATCAGAAACACTGGACTGACGCTGCAAAAATATCAGCTGGCTCCTTACAATCTTGGGGGTCCAAGGCCCCTGGGCGTTGCCTGCAGTGGTGGCGGCTGGGTGCACAGCCCAGTGTCCCCTGCTTCCAGCAGCGGCCCTGGGGCCCCGGACCACAGAAGGGCAGGACTCTGTATGGAGACGTCTCCAGTGGGCGAGTGCATGCAAAGCACAGACGGCTCGTGAAGGCCGCAGAAAGCACCAGGGGAGCTGCGCACGGCGACAAGAACGTCGAAGAGACAGACGCACCTCAGCTCCTCCGTGTGCCGGGTCAGAGACCAGAACCCCGCCATTCCCACAGTGCACAGCGTGGGGGGCCAGGCGAACACACGCCGGACCACAGCCAGGGCCCCTCCTCCTGTCTACATCCTCGTCTATAAAGTGGGGGTCACCTCAATGTGGCCGCAGAGCACCAGCTGATGCACCTGCACCCCGAGGGCCTGGCAGCCATGCTCCTGGTCCTCCCTAAGTCTGTCCTGCTTCTCACGGGGTCAGAACCCAGGCCGCTGTGCTCAGCCTGAGTGGGCAGGCAACTCCTGGGGCCCCATTTTATAGCAGATTCCTGAGCCCCAGCGCCCGAGATTCTGACTCAGCAGGTTTGGGACGGGGCTGAGCAACCTGCCTTTTAACAGACCTGTTCAAGACTTGGATAAACCGTGTGACAGGATCTAGAACTGCACAATCCTGCCACAGGCCACGACCGGTCAGGGACGACCCAGGGTTAAGCCACAGACTGGCCGCACGGACAATCTGCAGGTCTCGTCCTAAGTGGCGTCCGATGCCGCCTGCACGTTCCTGGTTCCCGACAGCTGGGTTAGGCTACAGGCACCGCTGTCAACCAGATACAGAACCTGGTCCAGTTTAAGTCACAGTGGAAGGCGCTTCACTTAATCGAGGCTGAATACGGCTTCTGATCATAACTTACATAAACACACACCCCCCTACATTTTAGTGTGTATCATTTTCTTTTCTTTTCTTTTCTTTTTTTAGCTGAGCCATCCTGCTACCTGTTGGCAGCTCAGCGGCTGCTCAGCTCAGGCTGGACTCGAACTGCTGTTGCTCAGAGCTCAAACTCTTGAGCGAGCTCTTAACCAACTGAGCCACTCGGCCGGCCCCTATCATTTTCTTTTCTGTTAATCTGGACTTGAGTGACATCTCATCCCAAAAATGAGCCAAACAGTAAAAAAATTTAAGTGAACATTTAAGATTGAAGGAATGACTAGTTCTCAAAATGTAATTAACAGTATCTAAGAAAAACGACGGGTTTCAGACTACCTCCCACACCCTCATCTTTACAATGAAGGGTACCCCAGCAACACACACAAACATTTCTGAGAACTGCCAAAGAGCCACTGCATCACCTGAACCCTGCCCGGAGGTCGAGTCCCTCATGTCCCTAGACCTTTCCAGAAGTTCCAGAGCCTGCGTGCTCCCCTTACGTGCTTGTGCATTGTTCACGTTCTTCACAAACCTTCCTTTAGAACAAAACCTGATCAGATACCCAGCCTTCCCTGCATTTAATCAGATGTGACTTGTATCTTTAGTCAGGGAATTCAGCAATGTCCACAAACAGAAATGCAAACAATACACGTCTGGTTTCTGTGCTGCACTGTCCTGTAAGCCCAAGGCTGTGAGGCCCCTCTTTGCTTCTGGGTCTATCTAGACTCTACCTGCTCTATATTAAGCAGACATTAAAAGAAAGACGGAAGCTTTATACAGGGACTCCAAAGAGGGCTCTGTTCTGGGAAAAGCCAGTCTCTGAGCAGGCTGCCCACGCTTTACAACCACAACAAGGACGGGCCCTTCCTGAGGGCCATCTCGGCCGGGTGCGACACATCCTCTCATGTGCGGATGAGTGGGCAGAACAGGGAGAGGCTGCCTGGCCTTTCTGGTCGGAGGTGCAGGCCTGGGCCCCGCTCCAGGAGGCTGGCATGAACGTGGCCTATTTGTCCAGAGTCCAAGTTCACGCATTAGGAGGTAGCTGCAAACACTTCTGTCAAGAGAGTGAGATGGTGCAGAACACAGAGGCACTGGATTCTAGAGAAAGCAGAGGGCGCAGTGGGGCCCTGTCCCTGGATGGAGGGACACACACTCTATGTCATCCAGTCCTTCTGCAAGGAATACGGTAGGGAAACTGGTTTCTAATGCGTCTCAGGGATTATTCTGCTGGAAAACCAGCAAGGAAGGCAAGCAGCTCAGCTTTACTTCTACTCAGGGTCCTTCATGGGGCCACTGTCCCCCCAAGACCCTGCACCGCCCACCTCTGCTGGGCCTCTTACCCACCTGGCTCACCCACCTGGCCTCCGACAGCACCCCCACAGCCATGCTGGTTCCTGCCTTGGGGCCTCTGCACGTGCCACCCCTCTGCCATGAATATCCTGCCCCAGAGGCAGGGCACTGCCCTCCGACCCTTCAGGCCTCAGACCAGTGACCCGCCTCCAAGGCCTCCCTGCATGTCCTGTCTGGAATGGCGTGCTCCCCGCGCCCCACCACACTTTCCTCATTTCTCATCCCTCATCCCTGATGGCCCAGTGACAGGCCCTCTGTGCGCTCAGAGCCCCAGTGGAGCCCCGAACCACTGCACCCGCGCTTGACCAGGCCGGCCATGCCTGCCTCTCCCTCCCACCGGCACCAGCACCTGCACACACGCGCCCTGGTCTGGACATTGCCTCCTGGGAGCTCGGCTGCCAGGCCCAGGATGGAGCAGGCAGCAGGCACACTACTCTTCTTCCAGTGACAGCTGAGTAAACTGCTGTCTTTCTGCCTGAGCCTGTGCACAACGCAGCCTTTCTGAAACGGGCACAAGAAAGCTCAGTCTCCAGAAGCCTCCGTGCTCTAACTCCCAGCACGCTCTGCTCGTGCTCAGGACATAGTGTGTTCTAGAAGCGAGCGTGCGCCCTCATCCCCTCTCAGCTCTGAGCCGCACGGGGGCTCCTGCAGGCCTGGCATGGACGCCATCGGGACTGGTCTGCGGTGCTGAGTCACCGGACAGACAGGGCTCTGCAGGGCTTTGTCAGCAAGACCAGGTGACTCTCTCTCCTATTTTGGTACTGGAATCTCAACTGCACTTTCTTTACCCAGTTTGTGTGGTGAGAGCTGATAAGGGTGCAGATGGTTCCCATCTGCCGCCCTCTGCACTAGCTGACCCTTTGCATGGCCCCTCACCTGTCACCTCTCAGAAAGGCCTCCTGGACTCGCTAGCAAAGGAAACCCCTCCTAGCCACTCACCGGAACCCACCGCCCACAGCGTCTTCTCCGCAGCAGCCCACTACCTCATGCCCACGTTTGTGTGTCCGTGGGCTTCTCCGCAGGCAGAGGCCACGCCTGCCTGGTTCTGTGCTGAACCCCACGGTCCAGACCGCGCACAGGCCCCCCAGCTCAGTCCATGCTGTGGCGGTGGGGTGGGGTCTGCCGCAGCACTCCTGACGCTGCTGGGGTCCACGTCAGCTCTTTTCCAATTTTAATAGCTTAGGGTTTTAGGTACCAGTGCTGCTATCCACAAATGGTGATAAATGGTATAAAGGAAAAACAGATTAAAACCTAGAAAAATAAAACTCATGTAGTCCAGAACACACCACAAACAAACTTAAAACAAGAAAGCTTACTTTGGAAGAAAAGCTATAAAACCAACCAAGGGTAAATATATTTAACGATAAACAACAGTACAATTAGAAAAAGACTTCTCCTGCCTGCGGGCGGGGCTCCGACCTTGCCCGCCCTCCCGGGGGATTCTGTGACCTCACCCCAGTGCCCTGCACCTTCATCCACGAAATGGGACAACTATGGTGCTGATGTCACAGGGCTGTCATGATGACAACAGTCCAGGACGCGAGTCATGGAATGTTTACCCAGCCTGGCCCGCGGCCCCCCCACCCCCCTACAGTCACTGCTGCTGCCCAGGCCCAGACAGCAGGCCAGACAGGAGCCTCGCCCAGCTGCGCTGTTTGCAAAACCCTGAACCAACAACGCGCAGGCCTCGCCCTTTACTTAGCCTAAGCTGAGAGTTTTCAAAGAAATATAGGTCCTTCCTAGAAAGACGCAAAGCACGCGGAGCCAGCGCCCTCTGGACACAGCCCAGCTGCCACCAATGCACCGAGCCCGTCCTGTCTCCTGACTCCCAGCTCCTCCAGGCCTGGGCTGCAAAACCGCCTGCCCCCCACAACTGCACTCTGGGGCCTGGTGATGACTTAGTGACCCCCTATGCCTGCCACTACCCACCCACCACCAAATGGTCAGTTCTTTAAGAGCAGAGACTGTCTGCCCCGCTGCTGGGCTCTCAGCACCCTGCAGAAAGCCGGGGTTCGGGGGTCAGGACAGGATTCCTTCCAAACACGTACCTGTGGCTCTGTAACTGGTCATAAACCAGTGCTCAGAAAAGTGGCAGTGATTGTGTGATTGGTAAAAATCACAATTTAAATAAAGGAGTAAACCTGAAAGAAAAACCAAGAACAATACTCCCAGGGTAAGTGGCCCAACTGCGGGCAGCCTGCTGACAAGGAGAAAATTCTGGGATGTCCTAAATGAAGTACAGTGGCCCGAGGACGAAGGGAGAGACCAGAGGGGTCAATTAGTTAACTGGGCCAGCCCAGCCAAGGCCTGTGCACACTCCTGAGTGCGTGTGGGAACTGACTTCCAAGATTAAAGAGACGAGCCAGGTGCTGGGCTTGGGACTCTGCAGGGGGCTCTGTGCGCCCCGCTCAGCACCAGCCCGGCCCCTCGCCCACCCTTTGTCTGCAGCTGCTGTAAACCCTTCCCCACCTGACGTGTAAGAACAGCCCGTCTCTCCCACTGTGGACGAACAAGGGGCCGTGTACCAAACCCGACAAGCTCAGGGGAGGCCTGCATGGCAGGCCCTGCAAACTCAGAGATGGAATATAACCACACAGGATGGTCGGAACGTAAAAATTCATAACTAAAAGCAAGTCATGGCCTGAGTCACGTCCTGGGCCTGTAGCTTCCTTGACAAAGGTCAATCTTGACCTTAAGCGAGCCTGTCTATTGTCTTTTTGCATCTAAGATAACACACCCTTGGAATGTCAGTCATCCCTTTTTCTGAACCCCCCAGGGCACAACCCCCACCCCAGAGCACAAGACCACGGAGCCCCTGCTGTTATCTTGCTCCCCACATACCATCTCTATGCTGACCACCAACTCTCTTGCACCCGCCAATGTAAAGGAAGCATGTGTCTCTCCGTTTTACTTTTTATCCAATCCAAGAGACTTCCCCCCTTTACTTCCTCCCACCCCCTTAATCTACCACCCATGGATTTCATGTAACCCCCCCTTCTGTCTCCTCCTTTGATTCTAATGTATAAAATAAGCTGCAAAACTGCAGTTCTCCAGAGCATTTTCTCAATCCGCTGAGATTTTGCTCACCAGCAACTGTCGTCAGTTTGGCTCAAATAAACTCAGAAAAATTCTCTGTGGGTTTGGATGGTCCTACACTGCCAGCCATGCTGCCAGTAGTTTAGATTCCAGGCTGCAAGCCCTGTCCTTTTTGTTAGAAATGGCCCAACAAACCCTTTCTGTTGAAGACTTTCTGCTGTGGGAGTTAATGATGTTCGTCTAACAGGCGTGAGTGACTGACAGCGTGAGTGACCGAGAGCACGGACATGGGGGGCAGGGGCGCCAGGCCCTACCTGCCGGGATGATGCCAATACGCAAGGGGCTGGGCACCAGCGCCGCCCGCGGCTGGTTCGGGTCCACGCCCGCGCTCCTCTGCGTCCTGCCGATCAGGCCGTGCAGAACCTCGCTGAACATGCCGTCTCCGCCGACGCAGACGATTCTGTGGGAGCAACGCAGGTACATTAGGGTCCCTGCACTGCCGGCCCCGCTCCCCACGCTCCCCACAGCTCATCGTGGCATTCCTGTGAGGGGCAGCGTGTCACCGACTACAGGACAGTCCCGACTCCTAGGGGACAATCAGGGTGGCCCACAGTGTGGCCGACTCAGCACCCACTTACGTCCTGGGGCTCGGGTCCCCGCCCCACCGCAGCCCACCCTTCTGGCGTGGCTCGCCGATGCCTTCGCGCAGTCAGAGGTTTGCACCCTGTGTGAGGGCCCAGCCCTGACGCACGTCATGGCCACCAGGAGGCCAAGGCTCCCAGAAGCCGCGAAGGGCGGGACTAGGACCAGGTCCCAGGCCCCACTGTGTCCCTCACGCTCCACTCACCGCAGAGAAGGCCGCCTCCTCCTCAGCCCACAGCCTGCCCTTCAGTCCCAGCTGCTGAAGCGTCACCAGACAAAACCAAAGCAAAACAGCCCCCCACCTGACCAAGGTCTCCGGAAACTCAGCCCCACCCCTAGAGGAGTTCTGGAAACTGGACCCGTGACAGGTGACAGCGGCTCCTTCCCTTCCTGACGGTCCCGCCCTGTCCCCAATACCACCTCTGATGCTTCTTTTCGGTTTCCGTCAGTAACTCCACTGGCTACTGTCCCAGGAGCCAGTCTCCAGCCCCTCAGCGCCCCCACCCCCGTCCTCCTGGGAAGACTGACCCGACCCCCACTGTGTGACTCCTAATCTACTTCCCAGACCCCTCTTCCAGGGTCGCTCTGCACACTGTCTGATGCCCACCTGAGAACCCCGGCTTTGTGACTCTCAGAGCGTTCTCATCAGCACTGACACAGGGCACAATGACACTCATGACAACGAGCCCCAGTGCAGAGATGGCGCAGTCACCTGGATCCCACTGCCGGGAGCTGCAGACAGGATCAGACCCTGGCTCTCCAGCCCTCGTTTGCCCCTTAACCTTCACTCTGGCCAGACCGGAGAGGGCCGACTCGCCCAGCTGAGCCTGCAGCTCGGCTGACAATGCCCACACTGGCTGCACCGTCAGCTTCAAAACCTGCTTCAGCCCCTTATCTCACAGCCTGATACCATCACTGGCACTGGGGTTAGGAATCCCTGCATTGTCTTCTCCAAGAATCGGTCACTGGGACCAGTCGACTCTCCCCCAAGACATCCTGGAGCTGGTCCCCTTTGTGTGTGCCTTCTGCCACTGTCCAGCCAGCTCTTGCCAACAACCCAGACCTCTCTCAGACTCTCTGGGTCCAATCCCACCTCAGTGCTACGCGCCACGTAGCTTTCAAAAGAATCTTTGCAAACACAAGCCTGATCCTATAGTGCCTCTATTTACGAGATTTCCTCCTACGGAATCAGCCACCTTCCCCAGATCCCACATGCCAGCCCTGTGCCAGGGGCTGGGTGACAGCTGAGCACAAGGCAGAGCTGCCATGCCAGCAGGGACAGACAACACCAAGGCACAATCACACGACAGGCAGCATTCCGGCATGACGCCCCTTCTGCGTCACCGCAGCAGAAATGCACAACCAGGGTCTGACCAAGAGGAAACATCACGCAGACGCAACCCGGGAAACACGCTGCAGGGCTGGCCTGTACCCTCAAAATTCAGCCACCCCGAGACGGCTGCACTGCTCTGCACTGCAGGAGACTCGAGAGACGTGACAAGTAAATTTGAAGGCAAAGCGTGATCCAGGCTTTTCTGCTGCTACAAAGAAATGAGGGACAAGTGGCCGAATCTGAACGAAGACAGCAAGTAGGTAATAGTATTGTGAGGGCATTCGTTTCCGTTTGATCAGTGTGCTCTGGTTCTGTAGGCGAATACCCTTGTTTTTAGGAAATATTCACCGAACTATTTAGGGACAACAGGTGATCACGTCTATACCATACTTTCAAAAGGTAGTAAGACTGAAAGGAAAACAGACATCTATGAAACAATAGTTCTATGCAGGTAGTAGAAGAATGCAAGACTCTGAACTTTTCTGCCTTTTCTCATTTTCTACAAGAAACAAGTTTACTTTTACAATTAGGAAAAAAAAAACGTTAGCAAAGGGAGTGGATAAAAGTAAGACAGATGGGTAAAGGCTGATTAGAATTCACTACTTATTAATCAAGATGAAAGGGCATTACTCACCCGTCATATTTATCTATATTCATCTCATATATACTCTCCTTGGCATGATTGGCACGTTCAGTAACTGTGGGAAAAAATAACATTACGTCACACAGTTTACATTCAAATCTGTGAATCCTCATTTAAAATCAAAGGCCAATAAACCATTCTTTTAAAATGAGGTCCTGTAAAATCTTCGGGAAGACTTCCTGTAAGAAATCCCTTCCTTGCTCTAACCTAAGTCCCGCTTAGAGAAAAAGAGATGGCACTGAGCTCAGTGGAACGTGCCCCCCTCCCCCTCAGAACACATCCCACAGGGAAATTATCACATTCTTCGCATAGAATTGCCAACAAACAATGGCTTTTTTGAAAGAAATTATTCTATTTTACAGTTTTTCCTTATTATCCAAGTTACTTCAAAATTTTTAGAATATACCAAAGTGTAGAAAACATAAGGTTAGTCCAGAGTCTAAATACCCAACGTGAGAAACAAAAGCTCTATTGAAATCCTACTGTACACACAATTTTGTGTCCTAGTTTTCCCAACATCACGTGACCATCATTGTCTATATTGTTAAAAATTCTTTGTAAAGACCATTTTTAAAAACTACATGCTATTCCGTCAGCTTCACCACAATTCTCCTGGTTCCTGTCTGTGGGCACTGGCCATTATAAAATGTGGCAATGGACATCTGTGTACCTCCTCCTCTGTGGCCATCTGATTGTTTTCCTAGGAAAGGTTTAGAAAACTGGAACACGGAGCAAAACCCCTCAATTTTAAGGCCTTTGACCCAAGTGGCCCAGTTTATACGAGACCCTGCAAGCACGGGGAGACCCCGCACCCTCCCAGCATCGAGAACTTGCACTGAAAACTCGGTGCCACAAACATGGTGTGGCATTATGTTCCTTAAAATGTCACTCATTGGTGAAATTATTTCTTAGACTTATGCATCGCTTCTATCCCTTCTTGTAAGAATTTTCTGCCCGTGATCTTTGTCCTTTTATCTTCTTAGTAGTTTTCTCGAGTGCTTTAAATGTGGGGTCTTGGCTAGAAAAGTCTGCATTCTTTACTTTGCATTCTTCTCATTCTGATTTGTAAAAACACATTCAATTTTGTTTAAAATAATCTTATAAGGCAAAAATCTTCTCTAGTGACCGTGTTTAGTCTCAAATTCCTTTCCACATATTTAACAGAGACTTTGTTCCTTACCAATGATTTCAGTGGTGATGGAGGCTAACGTGAATAGTGGTGCCACCTTCCGTTCATATATCCGTTTGCCTTGTCCTTTCCCTCCAAACGGGTTGATAAACACTAGTAAATGCTTTGGTCTAGATGCTGCAAAACAAAAACATTGTGCAAATCGCAGTAAATACAATGAAAAATCCCAATGAAGACCTGAGTCACTGAACAGAATCAAACCACAACGGTTTCGAAATTCTTCTTAGGATCTTCTGATAAAGTTTTTCAGTTAAACAACAGTGCTAAAGAGTTTCCTAATCTATGAAAAGAGAAAAGCGACAGCCTATCAGAATGGGTGGTGCTTTGCGTATCTGCCAGATGTGATGCCAGTCCCAGGAATTCAGGAATAGGCCCGAGAAAGACACTCTGCCCTGATAAGATGCACGTTTTGGAAGGCAGCAGCCCCACTCCTCTTCATGTGAAGGAAGTGAGAGCAGAGGACAAAGAGAATGAAGCAGATGGACGGAAAGAAGCACTAGGAGAGACAGACAGACAGGCACAGGGAGAGCCCGACGTGGAGATGGACAGACAGTCCCCGGTTCCAGTCCCTTCAGAGGCCCAGCCAACCCCTATGTTCTCATGACAACTTCCACGTTTCTGTTTGGGCCTGTTCAAGTACATTCTGATACTTAAAAAACGAGATCCAATTAGCAGCTCAATAAAAGTAGCAAGAAGGTACACACCCACAAAAATGGAAAACCTGCACACGAAGTCCTGCACACGGGTGTTTCCAGCAGCACCATTCACAGAAGCCGAAAGCGGACACACAGTGTCCGCTGACTGCTGACTGGGCACATAAAACATGGTCTGTCTGCAAAGTGGAATGCTACTCCGTGATAAGAGGGAACAACATGGATACGCGGACCAACAGCATACATCTCCAAAGCACGCTGAGAAGCAGAAGCCTTCCACAGAAGAGCTCCCAGCACATGACGCCATTTATACGGAGTTCCAGAACGGGCAAAACGAACACGTGCAACAGTAACAGAAAATCAGACTGTGTGTCCAATGGGGAAGGACTGTGAGAAACTTTGGGGGTGATGGAAGTCCTACAGGCATCTTAGTTTAATGATCTGTGCATTGCACTGTATGTAAACTCTACCTCATAACTGTACACAAATACTGACCTCTCATTAACAACATGTGGGCTGATGAGGCGTCTCGATGTCTGTCACTGACTTTGAAATACAGCAAAAATACAGTTATCTAATGGATGGACAGACAGACATAGACAAAGCAAAAACAACAAAAGGTTAACAACTGTAGACTCTGGGTGCCGGGTATATGGGTGTTTCCTGTGCAATTCTCTGAATTTTCCTGTATGCTTGAAAATATTCATACTAAAATATTGGAGGAAATATGCAATAGAGAAAATCAACAAAGCCAAAAGTTGGTTCTTTGAAAAGATTCACAGAACTGATAAATCCCTAATAAGGCTGATAAAGAAAAAGGGAGAAAGTACAAATTACCAATATCAGGAATGAGATAGGGGATATTATTTCAGAATCTAAAAATATTACAAGGAAAGTGAAAAGATGTATTAATAAATGTAGGCCAATAAATCTGTAAATTTGGATGAAATAGACAAATTTCTCAAAAAATATAACCTACCAAAGCTAACAGAAGAAATAGAAGATCTGAATAGTCTGATATCTAATAAAGAAACAAACAATTAACAAAAACCATCCCACAAAGAAAGCCCAGGCCCAGATGGCTTCACCAATTAATGCTTCCAAATATTTAAAGAAAACAGTAGCCTCAATATTATAAAAACTCTTCCACAGAATCTGAAAGGAAGAAGCTTCTAAACTCTTTGTATAGGGCCACTGTAAGCTTGACAGCAAAACCAGACAAGGATGTTATCAGAAAGAAAACTCATAGGTCTGTTACTGCCCTGAGCCTAGGCGCAAAAATCCTAAACAAAATATCAGCAAGTCAAATCCAGAAATATATGAAAAGGGTACTACATCGTGACCAACTGGGATTTATCCCAGGAATACAAAGGCTTTTCTACAAAGAGAAATCAATGTTCTTCCACACATTAACTCAAAAAAAGAATCATACAATCATCTCAGTAGATACAAAAAAAGCATTTATCAAATTTGACACTCATTCATGATTAAAAAGAACAAATTCTCAGAAAACTAGGACTAGAAAGAAACTTCCTTAATCTGGGTTTCAAAAATCTATTAAAAACCTAAGAAATATCATTCTTGACAGTGAAATGTTGAAGATTTCCCCCCAGAGATCAGGCCCAAGACCATCCCCCTGAACTGGAGGTGCAAACCAAGGAAAAAGCAACAAAAGGGACAAGAACTGAGGTGGGAGAAACAGGACTGATATTATCCACTGCCGACAAGAAGAGTCATCAAACTTAAAAATAATAAGTGAATTTAGCAAGGTCATTGGATACAAAGCGAAATACAAAATTCAATTACATTTCTATACAGGAGCAACAAACAAACAAAACCCAAATTGGAAGCAGCACAACATATGGAGAAAGGGACAGTCTGCCCCATAAATAGCATGGGGTCAGGCAGATATCTTCCTTGAAGGAACCTTGACCACTTACCTACGTTATATAAAAAATCAATTCCAAACAGACTGTAGATCTAAATGGGAAAGGTAAAACAAAGCTTTGAGAAGAAAACACCTTCACAGCCTAGGAGTAGACAAAGATGTCCTAAATAGGACACAGCCTAACCACAGAGTGAAAAAAAAACCCCCAAAACTAGAACTACATTAAAATTGAATGTGTTCATCATCAAAAGAATGGAATGAAGAGGCTGAAAATGCAGGCCACACAACGGGACAAGGAAGATATCTGTAATTCATAAACCCAATAAAAGGTTCGGAGCCACCATATGTGAAGAGTGTCTACATATAATTGAGAAAGACATGGACGGAAGAGTTGAACAGACACCTCACAGAAGACGATTTCCCAACGGCCCATAAACAGGAACGTGTTTCCCAACTTCATTCGCTGTCAGGGAAGTGCAAATCAAAGCCGTAATCAAGGCTACGAACACCCACCAGAATGGCTAAAATTCTAAAGGTGTGGTTCAGACGTGGGGCAACCAGAGCTCTGATATCCTGCTGGCGGGAGTGTCACTGGAACTCCCACTTTAGAACAGCCTGGCGGTGTCTGCTGCGGTGGGACGTCCACACTCTGTCCGACCCACCAATTCATTCCCAGGCGCGCACCCACGAGAAATGCAGATGTGTTCACCCAAGGACACACACTAGAGTGCTCATGGTGGCATTACTCGTAACAGCCACACCGGGGAGCGATCCAAATGGCCGTCGACAGTAGAATGGGTGAATAAACGGGCACACGTTCACGCCATGGGGTACGTTCACGCCGCAGGAATGAGCAGCCTCCAACGCACCCCTGAGTGTGGGTGAACTTCACGAATGTAGCGCGGAGCCAAAGCCAGAGATAGAGCGCGTGCGGTGTGAGCGACGGTAAGCAGCACAGTGAGTCCAGTTTAGAGTCAGGTGGCGGTCGCCCTGGGGAGTAGTGACTGCAGGCGGTGGAGGGGGGCTGACTTGTTCTGATGCTCGACCTGGGTGCTGGTTGCACGAGTGTGTGTGCTCAGTGTGTGAGAGCTCTGTGCTGCACACTCCAGCCGAGCTCTGTGTTACACCCCACGGCACACTGCGGTGCTGGTCATAGAGTTACACTCCACGTATCTACGTTCCAGGCCAGTTATACTTACAAAGGGTAACACAGTTAGGAGTTCAAAGACAGAGGAGCTGAATAACAGAATCGGGTAATATTTTTAGATACAAGTAGACCATAGCAAAGGTACCACTGTACAGGCGTTTCTATGGATTCCATAGAAAAATAAATACATCCCATCATTCTAGGGGCAGGTTCGGAGGACTTTCTCTCGCGGTCTTAATCTAAAGACTCAAAGTCTGAAAACAACAGAGGACCGGAGACGGGGTGGGGCAACGAGAAACCGAGGCCATTTTCTGAACAGGCCATTTTCTGAACAGACCAGTTGAGGTGTCCACGAAGATGCAGAGGACAGAGTGCTGGGTCTGAGCTGTGAGGAAAGGTGGGGGAAATGGGACCCCAGGCAGGGTGATGAACCCCACGCCCCCCAGAATCAGACTGAACTGGGAAGTGAGGGCGTGCTGGCCCTGGAGGCTGTGTTCCAGGCACCGCCGGGGCCGGTCCCCTAATCAGGAGATGTGTAAAAGTCACAGTGACACATCATCTCCAGCTTGGTGTGGGACAGAGAGGAGAAGCAGAGGTCATGGCAGCACGCGCGCACGCGCACGCACAGTCGGGCAGCACAGCAACTCTGTCCTTCTCTAATATAAAAACATACACGTACTCAGCTTCTCAAGCTGCTCCCGGAGGGTCTGTAGCCACAGGTGACACAGCTGCTCATCGGCACAGCAGAAAGTCACCTGTGCACACTTCCAGCGGTGGCGCCGGGCTCTCCTCACTCGGTGCACTGCGCAGAAACAAGTGCGTTAGTTCTAGGGACCCACCGTGAGAACCCGCAGGGGCGCCCCGCGCACCCAGCCCCACATGCCCAGCGGCTCTCCTTTCTTCTGACTAGTTGGTAACTTCCAAGGTGTATTAGGAAAAAATCCCATTTCTCAGTTCTTTTAACCCATGTAAAAAAATAAAGCAAATAGAAAATGATCAAAACCAATAAATACATTAATGACAAACTGCAGGAGAACACCCTTGGGCTACATTACCTGTGAAAGCGTGGGGCTTTTCGATTTTCTGCCATTTTCCGCTGCTGTAGTCTTTCCCATGACTGTCTGTTTCCTCAACGGTGATGATCTCAGAGACTGGCACGGAGCAGGCATCTGTAACAACACCCCATCCGTGTGGCCAATGAGCCCATTCGAATGCACACAACCACAAGTCCAGCTCCCAAATGCTGGGAACTGTTCGCTTTAATATTCATTAGAAACCCAAAAATAAAACAGAAAGGTTTACATAATTTTTAAATTCAGGGCTAACTAAATCTGGGAAACTCCATATTATCAGAAAACAAGGTGTTTTACCCAACAGAATCACCAAATGTAGTGTGCAACTTTTCAAATGATTCGCTCAGCCAGTCAAGCAGCGCGTACTGACTTCCAGGCCAGCTACTGCCCTCAATTTTAGTTAAGATGTTCAAGACACAGTGTCAACCCTCAGCCTGGCTCAGAAATCCAAATGGGACAGAGAGAGGCACATAGCAGAGCCTGGGACAACCAGGACCCAGGACCACTGCGAGTCAGGGCCACACCGAGGCGGAGGCTAGGGGTGGGCAAGGGGCTCTGGAAAGACCCGGATGGGTCCCATCGGATGCAGCAGGAGGAACGGGGACACTTGGCTAGACCTAGGGGATGACAGCCCCGGACATTCCCTATTCCGGGGAACCCAGGAAGAGGCTGCACCTGAGCTACCCAAGGCCTGCTTGGGGCAGTTGTAATTACAGAACTGCAGACGCCTCCAGGTCAAGCTGGACATAAACACAGCTGTGGGAGGGATGGGAAGACAGCCTGAAACTGACACTGGGGCCTGGAAGAACCGGCCCAGGAGGGCAGAGGACTGGGGAAGCAGAGCTGACTGAAGAGAAGCCCCCAGAGGCTAAGAACTCAGCAAGAATCTGAGAAGGTGAACAGCAAGTTGCTGGAGTACACAGGAAACACGGCTCCCATCAGGTCAGTTCCTGGGGGCATGAGTGGGGCCACCCACGGTCCTCTAATGGTGACATGACATTACCCTACACTGGTCAAGCTGAATGTGCTGGCACGGCGAAGAGGCACCCCCCAGTGTATGCTCTGCGAACACACCGAAGTATAAACAGGAACAAGAATAAATTAGTGAGTGCACAGAAAACTGCTGGAGGAATGTCTTGCAAAGAGTTGATAGTAACAATGAGGGGCACTTTTTCATTGTCTGCATGCTAGGGGTTGCTTGTATTTTGCATAATCTTGCACTGCATGTGAGATTAGATAAATCACTAGATGTCAACATTGACAAAGATGTTGGAATTATCTGACGAGGATTTTAAAGCATCCAGGATGAAAATGCTTCGTGAGAAATTACACGCTTAAGCAAATAAAGACACACAGAGGCTCAGCAAAAAAACAGAAGATCTAAACGGGAATTTTAGAACTGAAAAATATAACCAAAAAATAAAACAAATGGGTGAACTCAGCAGCAGAATGAAGGGACAGACAAAAGAATCAGTTAACTGGAAGATATAACAATAGAAATTACTCAATCTGAACAACAGGAAAAAAAACAGATTTAAAAAAATTAACAGGGCCTCAGGGACCTGTGGGACAATAATAAAAGATCATTTGTGTCATTGGAGTTCCAGAGCAGAGACGGAGAGGGGCTGAAAAAGGATTCAAAAGATAATGGCTGAAAACTTCCCACGTTTGGCAAAAGACATAACCTCAAATACAATAAACCCAAATAAATCCAACCGAAGACACATCATAACCAAACTTCTGAAAATAAAATACAAAGGAAAAAAATCTTAAATGCAGTGAGAGAGAAACACTTTACGTAGAGGGGAAAACAATTTGAGTGACAGTGGATTTCTCAAGGGAATCTATGGACGCCAGAAGGAAGTGGTACAATATTTTTTCCAGTGGTAAAGAAAATAACTGTCAACTCAGAATCTTATACCCAGCAAAAATGTCCTTCAGGGGTAAAGGAGAAATCAAGACATTCTCAGATGAAGAAAACGAAGGGAACTTGTTGCCAGCAGACCTGCCCTGAAAGAATGGTTAAAAGAAGTCGAAAGATGACTCCCTCAGGGCGGTGGGGAGGAGATGAAAGAAAAGAAGGAAGAACGAACGAACACGGGAAGCAAAGATGCAGGAAATTACAATAGAGTTTCCTTCTCTTCTTGACTTTTCTAAATTACATTTGAGTGTTGAAGATAAAGATTATAACACTAATGTGGTTTTAAATGTATGTGGAGGAAACTACTAAGACAATTATAGAACAGGGGAGAGCAAAGTGATGCAGAGAGTGGTAAGGTTTCTACACTCTACTCAAACTGGTACAACAGCACCAGGAGACTAGGATGAATTAAGTATATGTAAACCAATACCTAGGGCAACCACTCAAAGGCTACACACAGAGATGCACTCAAAAACAATACAGATATTTTACCACAATAAAAAAAATTAAGATATACAGACAAGTCAGAATGGAATTCTAAAAAATTTTTAAGTAATCCACAGGAAATCAGGACAAAGAAAACAGAGAAACGGGGCCAGCCGAGTGGTGCGTTGGTTAGGAGTTGGCTTGGGACACCAGCTCTGAGCAGCAGGGCCGCAGTTCGGATCCCACATGAGGGCCAGTGATGCTGCGCCCTCTACAGCTAAGATGGTGAACAACACCTGGGCTGCCATGAGTTGCCGGTGACGATGTAGGCTGCAGTGGGCTGCCGAAGGCTACCGTGAGCGGCCGGCAGCCAGCGTGAACTGCCAAGAGCTGCTGTGAGCGGCCGTCCAGTGGCCGGCGACCGATCTGCCTCACCGGGGAAGAGCGCAATGATCATACCAACATGGGCCAGTGAAGCGACGTCCTCCACAATTAGACTGAAGAACAAAAGGACAGCAACTTGTTCCCCTTCCCTGATTCCCCAATGCTGTTCCCCTCCCCCAATTCCCCAATAAAATCTTAAAAAGAAAAAAAAAAGAGAAATGAAAAACATAAAGAAAAAGAGAAAACAAAAAATACAATGGCAGACTTAAGCCCTAACATCAATATTTACACTAAAAAGCAGGGACTGGCTGAGTTGATTAGAAAATATGGCTCAATTCTATGCAGTCTAAAGAAACTCACTTCAAATCTAATGATGTAGGCAAGTGGAAAGTAAAAGGACGGAAAAGACATGTCAAGCAAACATTAATCAAAAGAAAGCGGGACTGGCTATGTTAATACAAGATTACCAGAGACAGAGAGGGTCGTTACGTAATGAAAACAGGGTCAATCCAAAATGAAGACGTAGCAATCCTGAACACGTATGCACCAAATAACAGAGCATGAAAATATGGAAAGCAAAACCTGACAGAACTACAAGGCAAAATAAAGAAGTGCATAGTTCTAGTTGCAGAATTCAACACCCCTCTCTCAACAATTGACAGAACAACTAGACAGGAAATCAGCAAGGATATGGAAGAACTCAACACCACCATCCACAACAGGATCCAACCACGTTTTCTACAAAGCTCCACCCAACAACAGCAGAACACACATTCTTTTCAAGTGCCCATGGAACATATTCCAAGATAGACCACGTCACTCCAATACGGTCCTTTTGTTCTTGAGTTCACTTCAAACTTTGGTTGATATGAGCTGGTCTGTATGACCCTGGTTAGAGAGAAACAAACCATCCCAATTCTGATGCCTGAGGTCAGGCTGCAAATACACATGCTGTTCCTCAGAGGAGGCTTCAATCTACCTTTTTTTGTTTTTTTAAGATTTTATTGGGGAATTGGAGGGAGGGGAACAGCGTTGGGGAATCGGGGAAGGGGAACAGACAGGTAGACAAATTGCTGTTTTGTTCTTCAGTCTAGTTGTGGAGGACGTCGCTTCACTAGCCCATGTTGGTATGATCATTGTGCTCTTCCCAGGTGAGGCAATCGGTCGCCGGTCATTGGTCGGCCGCTCACAGCAGCTCCCGGTAGCTCACACCGGCTACTAGCCGCTCACACTGGCTGCCAGCCACTCTTGTTTTGATGGGTTTTCTGCTTACAGACAAGTGCACGGCTAGATCAGGACTCGAATGAATGTGTTCCCCAAACTGCAGCAGCGGTTCTTCCAAGTGACAAGAGCTGTTTGTTTTGAAGTACATCTGGATTAGCTGCTTTTATAACATATCGCACTGTCATTCCTCCTTCAGCAACAATGATTTAGAGCAGGGTCACCAAACTGCAGGCCAAATCCAGCCGGCTGCCTGCTTTTATAAATAAAGTTTTATTGGCACACAGCCACATGCATTCGTTTACATACTGTCTATAGCTGCTTCTGTGCTAAAACAGCAGAGCTGGGACATTGTGACCCACAGAGCCTAAAATATATTTGCTATCTGGCCCTTTAGGAAAATGCTTGCTGACCTATTTTAGAGCAACGAGTAAAAGTCCACCTCAGAATAATCTCAGAACAATGACAGTCTTCCACTACTGCTAAATCCTGTGGTCCGACAATAACTGAGGCAAGTGCCTAAAGAGACACGGCAGGGAGGAGGACCGCTGTTTTTCTGACCTCTGCTTACACCTCTTCCCATAGTGGCTCATGTGCAAATCTGGAAAGAGGTTCTAGGTGTTTTTTAAAACAGTAAACAGATTGCCACTTATTTCCCATTCAGACACACTAAGACGCCTCCATACCAAAATATGTAGGTCATCAGCCTATATAATCTGATGATCTGCGTGACTTCTGGCTTCATAATGTCACATAAGACACTCAGCACATGTCAGGCGGGTATCTATGCCGCACTTTAGGATTTGGGGGCTTGACACAAACTGTTAGCTTCCTAGCCACTCCCAGTGGTTTCAGATCCACATCTCTTTAGAGAAAAGTAACGGTGCTTAAGCGAGAACAGCTCGAAATCACTGGGACCCCCTCCCCCAAAGCGCTCATGCCAGGGGCAGTGGTGACCCCAAAATTCACTCTTGCTCCCTGCAGAGGGGAGACGCAAGGTGGGAGCGCCCGCGCTGCTCTCCTCCCGCTACTTAGAGGGACAGGGGAACCCTTCCTCACACACTTCCTCGGCCCCTACTGTGTACACAGCACTCGAGGCGCTTCTGGGGAACGGGGAGATGAGGAGGAAATGAAGCCACCTGAC